TGGATGCAGGAGTTTCACAATGGCCTGAAACCCCCTTTGTTGTGTGAGCAACAGTACTTTAATTCTCTCTTCCACTGGATAAACAAAAGGGAGCAGAGTGATTTCAGAGGAAAGATAAGCCAGTGATGACAACAAAAAGCTTATTAGGAAGCAACAGAGCATTAGTATGAGAAATGAGAAGCATAGAAACCCACAACCCAAGGAGTGCCTCCAGGGAGGGTAAGGACAGGGACAGAGGAAAGCAGGCAGGTTTCCAAGACTGTTCTTCAGGTGAGTCTTTTCAGGAAGAATTGCAGAGTCATCTGGGAACACGAGAGTTCAAGGAAGGTGGTAGGAAAAGAGTGCTGAGCGCTCTGAACAGACACCGGAGGTGGTGAGAAGGAAATGTTTATCAACTGTTACTGGCAAACGTAAGTGCAGCCAGGAGTACAGCGCTTCGCTGAGGGCTCATCCCAGGCCATGGAACACGCCTGGCTGCTCCCCAGGACAAGCTTTACTGCTTTTATTTAAATACGATATTCCCGTCAGTGATCTGAGTGCGCAGCAGTGCTCGCACCTGGGAGTGACTTATTTCAATGCCAATCAGCGGCTCTGCAGAAGCTAAGAAGGGTTCGTAGCCAACAAGCTGGCCATAAAACGCTCTAGGATGGAGAGCAGCCCAGTCTGTGCAACCCAATCACGCTAGCAATCGTGCTACAGAACTCAGGACCGAGTTAGTCTTAGCGTGCTGTTTTTACCCCAAGTGACTCATATCCCAGAAAAGCACGGACAGTTCCCTTTTTGCTGGCAACTCACCGTATTTTAGTTCACAGATCTGACTGTCCTTCTTCTTTAGTTTCTCACAGATCTTTTCCACGGGGATGTGATGACTCATGGGCTTTGATACCTCGTTAATGATTTTGGTGGCTGCATCACTTGTGGCCCCAACATAATAGCACTAGAGGGAAGAAAAGAATGAGGTGGGGATGCATGAGGACACGCTTCTAAAAGGTGAGTTTTCTGTCCATCCTCTCTCTTTGCTTGGTTTTCAGCTAGATGTTTACTGTTAGTGAACCTTTCCAAGTGGCTGCTACAGCAAAGGAAGCCTAACTCTGACCCAGGGTACTGACCAGGGCATCACTCTGCTTCACAGCTCTGGAGGCTGGTTGTCTTGTTTCTCAACTTCTTAAAAAATTGGATTGGAGCAAGAAGAAAGTCTTCATTCAAGGAGAAGGACTTTCTGAAGCATTTCCCCTTTGCATTTTTGGATGGTGTCTCTCTGTAGCTCTCAGGAGAGTTCAGGGCCTTTTCTTTGGGGCTTTTCTCTTGGGAATTGCCTTCTGCTTTGTTATGGCAATTTGGTTTTCCTTTATTTATTTTTCAGTTAAACAGCTGAAGAGCATAAATATTTTAACAGCTTATCTAGCACCCCAAATACAGTTTAAGGGACAAGGAAGTCCTACAGCAAATAAAAGTTTTGTAATCTCTAACGCTTCAGTAACGAGGAGAAACAAGGTCAGCCCATAAGATGTCTGTTAAGTCTGTTAACAGATTGGGGTGGGTTTTTTGGGGTGGTTTTTGGTTGGCTGGAGTTTTTTTTTGAGGTGAAGAGGTCCAACTCCTCAAGTCCTCTCTTATAAAAAATGCAGAGCCATCTGTGGCCACAGAGCTAGGAAGAGCAGCCCCTGGGAAACCACACCATACAAACTCAGAAGCAGCACTAGTTGCCCCTGCTTTGCCAAATATTCTACAACGTATTGCCTCAAGAGGCAAGTACAGAATCACAGAATGTGTTGGGTAGGAAGGGACTGCTAAAGCTGATCCAGTCCAACCCTGCAGTGAGCAGGGACATTGGTACCAGATCAGGTTGCTCACAGCCCCATCAAGCCTGGCCTTGAATATCTCCAGGGATGGGGGATCCACCACCTCTGGGCAACCTGTGCCACTGATTGACCACCTCATGGGGAAGAGCTTTTTCCTCATATCCAACCTAAACCTGTCCTTTTCTAGTTTAAAACCATCACCCCTCATTCTATTGCTGCATGACCTTGTAAACAGTATCACTGACTACTGCTACTTACCAGGCGGTTCTCTTTGCCCTTTGCTTCTTTGCAGGATTTCAAGAGCTCCTTTTCAATACTGGCAGGTGTGAATTCAACGTCGTTGTCCTTTAGACTCTGGTAGAACCTTCCCAGGAATGTAACACACACTGGAAGGGAAGATGGATGGAGTTATCTGCCATGCAGTGATCTCGTGGCTCTTAGAGGCACTTGCAGGGAAACAAGAGTAAGGGATTTGGAGAACAGAACTTGTAGAAGCTGCATTAGCAGTCAGTGACTTCACACGTATTTCTGGCAGTCTTTCAGAGCACACGTGAATCAACAATACGCCCCAGTATTTTTGGTGGGTTTTTGACAATCTGAGAAACCAGATCCATCAAAGTGTCCAGTGGCTTCTGTACACTGTCCCGAGTGAGCAGCAGGATTCAGCTGAGGGACACAACACAGAACAGTGCCCGTGCGAAAACACAGACTTAATTTTCTGTCTCATTCTTGCTGCTTTGGGAAACAACTTGTCAGACCACAGGCTTCAAAACCAGTTCTGACTGAAAAACCAACTCTCTCTACATAATCCCATTACAGACTCCACATGTGCTGGTTTTAGTAATATGGTGTCACTGCTGATCAAGTTGGTTCAGTTCATAGTTAAGTTACTTCCAAGAGAAAAAGAAATTATGTGATCACACACTACATCCACTTGGCGTGTTCCTCCTCTCTTCATTCCCACAAGCTTCTGGATCGGTTTTAGATTGAAAGATGGAAGAGTCTTAAAGATAATTAAACTCCCACAAGTGCAGCAGCAGTTGAAAGGACAGATCCAAGTTGCTGCCTGTGGGAAGGGCAGGTACAACTTAGTCGTTACACGTTCCCTTGGGCAGCAGTCACTCACAGCAGCCTGTCACTAGGGAAGAGGGCAGACAGCTACGGGTACCGCAGCGCTCGGGATCCGTGTGCCAGGGCAGCTGGGACAGACACTGCAAGTTTGCCGAGCGTCAGGTTTGGCTCATTCTGCCGCTCACACAACTCGCCTGTGAACGTCAGCATCGCCTGGACCAAGAGCTCTGCGGCCCCTGCAGCAGGACCCGTGGATTCTCAGGACTTCCAGGTGTGAGACAAGTGCCTCTAGAGAGGTACAAGTTATGACTTTGATGTGATTTGTTTACCCCAACAGGAAGGGATCAGCAAATATTCTTGTCATTAGCAACTCACTCAACTCTGAGCACAAGCCACTGCGTGGGAAACGGGCAAATACAGGAAACTGAGTATGACCATCACACAGCCAAGAGGAAGCTTACTCTCGTTATATTAAAACTAGAAGCAATTACAAGCTGGGCCATTTAGGAAAACATGTTTTGTACGCATACAACGCCATCATTTACCTCACATCAGTTTGTCCCCAGCCACAGACACATACTGATGTCCACTGTGCGCTGTTTGGAAGTGAAAACCTTTGGAAAGAATAAAGATGCTGCAGGCAGTGATGCCAACAACCACACTACAGTTGAAACAAGTTTCTAACCTAGTGCTGGGACAGCAGCTATGTTCTCTCCCTACAAAATGAGGGTGAGCATTAATACCACAAACTCCCAACCAGGAACCATAGTCCCATCTCAAGCTTTTCACGTTTCACCTGGGGATGCTGTTCTGTTCCACCAGTTTAATTTGCTGTGCAGCTCAAGAGCTTCCACCCCAGAGACTTTTGTATTTAAGTGGTAGATAAAGCGCCCAGTTTGATTTAGATCAGCTGAACACCGCT